CCGAGTCAAAAAAGAATTATATCGAGCCTAATGTGCTGGCGAGGCATCTTGCGCGCCCGAACAACATATAAGCTTCCGTTGCAAGTCGTAAAACATCTGAACCAAAGAAGATGGTGACTCTACAAAATTTGGGTCCCATCCAGAATTATAATTTTCGATTGGGCTCAAATCTAGACAGCTCTGACCTGAGTCAGAAAGAACCGGATCGAAACTAATGTTCTGGTGAGGCAGCTTGCGCAAGATTGGAACAACATGCAATTTTCCCTTGCAAGTCGTAAAACATCTGAAGCAAAGAAAATGGTGACCGGACAAATTTTTGACCCCATCCAAAATTATAATTTTCCATGGGGCTCAAATCTACACAGTCTTGACTCGAGCCTAATGTTCTGGTGAGGCATCTTGCGCACCCGAACGGTATGTAAGCTTCCGTTGCAAGTCGTAAAACATCTGAACCAAAGAAGATTAACTCTACAAAATTTGGGCCACAGCCAAAATTATAATTTTTGATGGGGCTCAAATCGACACAGTGTTGACCTGAGTGAGAAAGAACTCGATCGAGTTTAATGTTCTGGTGACGGACTTTTGGCGGAAGAGTTCCATGCCAACAAGAAGTAATCTTCCGTTGCAAGTCGTAAAACATCAGAACGAAAGAAAATGGTGACTCTGTAAAGTTTGGGCCCCATCCAAAATTATAATTTTCCATGGGGCTCAAATCGACACAGTCTTGGCCCGAGTCAGAAAGAACTATATCGAGCCTAATGTCCTGGTGAGGCATCTTACGCACCCGAACAACATGTAAGCTTCCGTTGCAAGTTGTAAAACATCTGAACCAGAGAAGATGGTGATTCTATAAAGCTTGGGTCTATCAATTGGACAGCACATAAACTCAACAAATCCTGAGCTAGAGAGTTACAAAGGGACGGCCCTGGCAGGATTTGAGCCCATGACCATCTGCTTCCGAGATTGCTTCAAAATGCCCTGGGAGCTTGGGGGGGGGTTCAAGTGAAAAATCACTGTGTTGGACTCAGACCTGCCCCTCCCCTTGCTCAAGCAAGAGTAACTCAGCCAGCTACCGCTAGCTTTCGTGACAAAAATGTTGCGTCATTCGTTTTAGTAATTTATAAGTCAAATCATTTTTTTTTCTGGGTAATACTGGGTAACTATATCCAAAACTAGGCAACAAGTAGAATAGACAAAAAATATTAGGCTTTCGAAGGTCCAAATCAATATATTCCTTCAGAATTCAAATTTCATAACTATTAATTATTATACATGTTTTTTTTCACTTTATTTATTTATATTCTTAAAGCATATAGCATATTTTTCCAATATCTAAATAAAATTCAATAAATACTGTAATATTTCAATATTATATTGTATTATATATGAAATATTTTTCGGGTATGATTCCAGGGTAAGGTACTTGAAATCCAAAACGTCGTATTGCGACGTGGGATCTCCCTGCTATCAAGTCGCCTGGAACAATCTGGTTCTGAGGAATTTCTTGCTATTTGTATATGTATGTGTATGATTGTGTATTTGTATGTCATATAGGTAGTCTTTGTGGCGACATGGGGCTCATGCGAAAGCACCAGCGCTCTGGCGGTGATTCCCGCAAGCAGTGCGAATGGGGCAGGGCTCGAGCTAAGGATTTGAAGGGATTTTCTTCCGTATCTGTGTTGAGGGAAGACCGCTGCCAACCCACACACATGTTTCCGGTTGAAATTCGAAATATTCCACTGTTTCCGAATCCCCTCTAAAACACCAGCTAACGACGTATCTGCAGCCTGCTACAAAGCTATGCGAGCCAGGGTCGGAGGAGCAATCTTGACCAACAAGTGACTAATGATTCAAAGCAATTCCAGCAACCCTTTGTCTCATCATATTCTCAGCCACTAGGGTGACTCTAGGGTGGAGCATGAGGAATTTCACGCTAGGCCCAACAACTATGCAAAAAAAATACAACGTGCGCTCTCTCTCGCTCTATCTCTCTCTCTCTCTCTCTCCCCCCACCAGAAGTCTTGAAGATCATTGCTCATCATTGCTCTAAAATTGGGACCGTGAAAAAAACATATTTGGGAAATATAACGTGGAGGTCTTAAAATGCTTTCTTGAGGCCAACTAGTACCATGGTAATCCAAGCTACTGTACTATGCTGCCCTGAGAGTTTCAGGACCTTTTCTGGTTAATATTCCCAAGAAGCCATGGAGGACCGGCATTCTGGATTCTTGGTGGAGGGTGTATATCAGCAGTGTGGTGATGCAAGACCCAATAATGAACATAGCGGATTTTTATCCCGTGCAGTACTGAAAGAGCCACGTCCAAGAACGTTCTACAATGGTTCTTCTTCTTCTTTTTCATATCATAATGATTATTGTTGTTTTAGATACATAGCAAAGAGGGATTTAAATATCTTATATGCATACTTAGCCACGCACATATGTAGATTCAGTCTGCTACATGCAAATTTGTTCCTCCCACTAGACCACAACTCCACTTGCTTCTGGAGAAGCAACGTGC